AGTCCCGGGTGTGCCCTCACATACACACAGGCACGTGAGCACACACACGTACGCGTGCGTACATATATGTAGGCACACGCCCCACTCGTGCACAGACGCACGCCTTGGCCTCTCCTGAGGGAGGGGCGGGTGGCCCTCTTCAGTGCCTCTCACCAAGGCCGCAGGGGTCATTGCCTTTGGCTCAGGCACCACCCTGATTAAGGAACATGAAATCCCTCCGGAGCTGGTCCCACACACGGCTGGGCCTTGCCACTCCAGGCAGAGTTGCTGCCCCTCTGCTTGTAAGTCTCGGGCTCACAGGACACAATGAAGGGAGAGGCGCACTCACCGAGGCTTTGCCTAGATCTCCACACCAAAGGGCAGTCACCCAAGGGCTGAGGGACCCGGATAAAAGGGCCAAAAGTTCCGATCAGCGAGAGGGACCAACCTCTTTCCTCTCTTCAGTGCTTCTGCTCTGAGGGACAGGACAGCTGTTAACGGGAAATCTTAGCTACCTTCTAAATTTAGCCTCTGGCCCCATAGCCTGGCAGATCTCTGGGAGGACGGAATGCAGTCTCAGGACCCAGACCTGAAAGCTGGCCCCATTTAACTCTTTCCCTCCTGCTCCTGGCTGCTTCTCTGGACACCGGACACTGACATTGAGCAGCAAAGTTAGAAGAAGGTCAGGCTTCATAGATGGAGAGGCCTGAAGAGAAGGTTTCCTTTGGACTCTCTCTCTTGCCTGCAGCTACCTATTCAAAGTCTTTCCAGAAGGCGGTCTAGTGCCACAAATCTAGAAGAACGGAACAAATTGTATCCCAGCCCCATGTCAGTCTAGAGGGTGCTGGGAAAAAATACCCAATATATAGATTGGGGCAGGGGCTCTGATGGATGTCGGGAGAGGACTGTGGTGCAACTAAAGGGTATAGTCAACGGCTTGTGACCAGGGTTACGTTTCTCTGAACAGCGATGACTCTGAATAGTAAACGAATAGTTGTGTTCACCCTCTACAATCCCTCCCCGACGACACTCACATTCGTGGGGATGGTCAAGTGGCAAGCCTGGGTTGTGTAAAAATCCCACGAGCTTCGGGGCTCCTGGCTGGCTCAATCATTGAGCGTTCGACTTCGGCTCGGGTCATGATCTCACGGTACAGTTCTGTGACTTCGAATCCTACATCAGGGCTCGCTGCTGTCAGCACAGAGCCTGCTTCCAATCCTCTGTCCCCCCCCCCCCAGTGCTCCTCCCCCACTCCTGCTCTCTCTCTCAAAAATAAATAAACATTAAAAAAATTCCACAAGCTTCATAAACTTCAGATGAGCTCATAGCCCACCTTACTCCCCTTTGTAAACTCCCACCATCACCATGACCAAAGCAAAGCCCAAAAACCCAATAGTTCAGCCCCTCATCTCACACATTCTATAATTACACCTCCATCCATCCATCCATCCATCCCATCCCATTGGTCTACCCATTCACAAATGCTTATCTACTATGCGTCACATAATTATATGCTCAAAATGGTCCTTCTCCTTGGCCAAATGGAACAGTGTCTTGCACATGGTACCATCAAAAATTGGCTAAATAAATGAATGAGCTCACGCTTTATTAGGAGGAATGAGACACAGATCAAAAATAACTCCAGCATAAGGCAGAATGTAGTTAGTATCCTAAGAGAGATCCAGAGTTCTGTGTGGGTTCACAGGAGGGAAGAGCCCTTCTGGCTGAAGAAGTCAGGAAAGGCTCCATAGAAGAGGTAATGATACACACACTGGCCTTTTAAAAAACAAGTTGGATCATAAGAGCAGATATGATGGGGGAAGAAATGCCAGAGGGGAGAGCATGAACGAAACTGGGGGATGTCAGCGGTTAAAGCTGGGAAGAAAGCAAACAGGTTGTGTGGCAGAGACTGGGCAGGGCTGGAGTTAGGGGCTCCTTTGGAAAGAGTGGTCAAGGAACACATCTCTGAGGAGGAACATGGCACCACCCCTGGCCAGTCACCAAACCTCCACCCTGAGGGTCAAAATAGGGACTCGGGAATCGACTGCCAAGGAATGGCCATAACTGAGAAACGCTGGGGATTCATTTCATGCCCACCCAAGGTTCCATAAAGATGAGATGTGGTTTGGGAGAGAGGTGAGGTAAGGGAGGGAAGGGGCAAGGAAGGACAGAAGGGCTGCCTCAGTCAGGGTAAGGCTCAAGGGGATAGGGCCACAGCACAGAGAATGAAAGGGTGGCAGGGAAGTAAGGGAGGGAGGGAAAGACGGAGAGCCAACAACACACCTAAGAGAGGCAACAGATAAGGAGGGGACCGCTCAGCAGGAGGCATGGCCTCTGTCTTCTGTATACCCTCAGTCACCTGCAGAGGGTGACATCAGGCCACTGGAGTGAAATCAGAAAAACACTCACTAGCTGTATGACCTTTGAGAGCTCATTTCACTCCTCTGAGAATCAGATCCCTGTTTGTAAAATAGAGAACCGTCATACTCATCTCCCCATTTTGTTCTGACCACTCAGCCCAAAGTGGGGCCCCTTTCCTCCGCTCAATTTCATTTCCTGTAACATTTTCTGGGTTATGTTCCCCATAGCACCATCACCCTTGAAGTAGGGTGACCAGTCATTTCCACTTTGCCTGGACTAAGAGATTCCAGGGACAAGGGATTTTCTCTTTTAAAACCAGGGTGGGGGCGCCTGGGTGGCGCAGTCGGTTAAGCGTCCGACTTCAGCCAGGTCACGATCTCGCGGTCCGGGAGTTCGAGCCCCGCGTCAGGCTCTGGGCTGATGGCTCAGAGCTTGGAGCCTGTTTCCGATTCTGTGTCTCCCTCTCTCTCTGCCCCTCCCCCGTTCATGCTCTGTCTCTCTCTGTCC